CAGGTACATGTTGAAAATGAAACAGCATTTCTATTAATCCATTTTAATTAGGATTATGGAACACAATCGCTTCCATAAAAATGTSCCTAAAAAAAGTTTTTCTCCTTTTTTTTCATGCTTCATGAAAATGTCATACCAGAGCATCGAGGTACACATTTGTCCACTGAACTTGTTTGGCCTTCTTGTCTGCTAGAACCATGGGTCTTCCCAAAACATCTAGGTATTCCTAAAATACACATATAAAGTAACAATAATTAATTTTCTGGATTCTATTTAAGCATTTTTTTTCAAACTCTTGATCAATGTAGGGGGGAAAAAAACATCACCTGTGTGTTTATCCTGATGGCTCCAATAGAGGGAATCTCATAGAAGTAACCTAGGAAAAGGATCACAGTTTGCAGACTTTAATCAAATGCAATAAGGTATTTTGCACCACATATGTTTAATTTAATTGGTTTTGACACTATTTTCTTTCTAATTTACATATAAATGTTTCACTCCTCCTTTAGTTAGTTGTTTAGTTAAAATGAGTTTTAGGCGGTCATTCTTGTCTGAGCTACTATAGTTTACATTTTACCAAGACTTTTTACAATCACAAGCAAGCCCCTCTGTTTCACCACGTCAGCATCCTAAATTATTCATAATGTTAACAGTATTTAATATGTTTTTTTGTAAAAAAATAAAATAAAAAAGAAGCTTTCTGAAATCACTTATTAAGATTTGATAGTAATGTAAGAAGATATTGTTTAACTATGGAATTATTAAAAACAGACAATAATAATACCTTTATTGGAACAGGCCATCCATTGAATGGGTCCTTTATCATAGTTGTGTTGTCCTACAGAAAAGGTAAAGATTCTGACCTGGAACATCAAAAAGAAAAAAAATATAAAATTTATCATTAACACATACTGATAGGTTTTAACGATTGCTTCTTTAATTTAGCACAAAAAAAACTACTGACAAGTAAAACAAAACATATTCTGCAGGTAAACAATAACTCTTGTCATTTGTGTAGATGTGTTTCTTTTTGCAAACTGAGTAACTAAAACGGATTTGCCAAACACAAAAACTGGTTCGAGGAGCATGGTACAAAGCCCTTAAGTGTGAAGCAATAACACAAACGGTAGATCTCAATCTGACGAAGCATCTGATGTGCCCGAATTAATGAGAATTCTGGAGGCAGACACCAAAACACACCCTTACAGCTCCTGTGTGTTCGCCCCGACAGGTCCGAGCAGTTTGGGCGGCAGGATAGGTAAAGATGGCAGTTTAAACATCGGTGCTGATCAGTCGTTGTGTTTACATTGTTTGCATTGTTTGTAAATGTTTGCAAAATTCTTTGAACGGATTAAAATGTATCCAGATTAAACAATTCAAATGTATTGTTTATATAGGAACAAAATAAATTAGGGTTGTAAACTTTGCCTTAAAAAAACCACAGAATAAAAAGTTGTATTTGTGTCTTATGAGTGATCAGATTGAACCTGCTCCAGGTTTTAATAACGGTGGAGAAGTTACTGCACTCCGTGTTCCCACACTTCCTATCATCTAGGTGTAAGATAATTTCAAGATCTTTCAAATTTTTTTATAGAAATTTTGTATTGCTAACCAACCAGTTTTGCTTCCCCAACATATTAGGATCTAAGCAGGTGGAAATACTGTATGTCAGGCTGTCATAGGATACACATACACAAACAAACTTGATCAGAATAAGTGTTTCCATCCACGTGGTTAGGATAGCTTTTGTGTGTTTCAGTGAGAATCTTTTCTTTATAAGACATTTTTTTGGGACAAAAAAGATTCACATAATGTAAGTTTTTACATTTTATTAAAATTGTTTAAGATTTGTTTAGTAAGAAATGTAAAAATGAGAGTAATTTTCATGATATAAGTTAAAAGTGAAGAAAATAAAGTATGCTATCTACTGATGGAAAAACATCTGGATGACATGGGTTGTAGAGGTGTGTAATTTATTTTTTTTCCTCTCTTCTATTTATTGTTATGTCAGCCTTGTTTCCTTTTATTCACTTACAGGCTTTTTTTTATATTGCTTGCCTTGCAGCGCTTCTAGTTTTGCTTTAGTTAATAAAGATTTATTTGCTCCTCATCTTCCTGCTGTCTACCTATCAACTTGCATTTGTGCTCTCATGCAGGCCATCAAACAAAACTATGTGCGTGAATGCACCTTTTTGTCAGCGTTGTATTTCTCCAGCACAAACTGGGCTCTTTCCTCTCCCCCATCCGTAAACAGCATGATGATCTTATTGCAGTTGGCCCGGCTTATATTAGTCTAGTCAAAGAAAACAGACAAGGTTTTGAGAAATATTGCTTTACTGCACAAAAAACTGAGAGATTTGAAGATGAAATGCATTTTTCTTCTAGTGAAAAACCATAAAATGTTTTTTTTTTTGCATAACAGGCACGCATTAGAAGGGTTTCCAGGTTTAAACTTTTTCTCCTTTTTTGTCATTTTTGCTTTTTCCAAACATACAGCTGGACATTGTAAATCCAGAGCCAAGAATTAAGATTTTACACTTGGAAAAGTAGTTTTAAAAGGCTTTAATCATCTAACTAACTGTTTCTGTCAAACAGGACAAAAGCAGTAACACAATCAACCAGCAGATGGCAGCAAAGGCAACAACTTAAAAGCTTCTAAATTATAGCGACTTCATGGGCAACATTCACTCAAAACGTGATTTAAACCTTGAGCTTTCAATCACGTTGAAGTGAGACAAAACAAAACATTTTCCTCACCGCATTGAGCTGCTCAAAAGCAAACTCGAATCCCTTTGTGTAGTTTGTAATCCCTTTGGCTGTGATGTTCTGAACAGCATCTTTTAGCAGCTTTTTGTTCCTCACGTTGGCTTGAACCAGATGGTCGAAACACGCTGTGTTCTTCACCCTGGTGTTAAACTGGGAAACAGAAGCAGGAAGTTCCGACCTGAAAATTATTCATATTATTAAAGCATCTGTGCATGTGTAACAAATATGAATGCCACATGGACACATACTAATGCACACACACACACACACACACACACACACACACACACACACAC